TAAAAGTATGCTTATTGAATAGTTGCTTATAAGACTGCAGTACATGTTTTTTTTAATTATGCTGTCGGATATTTATTTCTAAAATAACATCCCTTGCCCTAAATGGGAGGTCTTCTTAAGAACAAATACCAAGAAAACAAAATGATTAAATTCGGAATAAAACCACAGTCTGCAAAGACTTTGAGTTGGGGTTCTGCTTTTCCTTTGTTGCTGACCGAGCGATGAGCAAGTGTCAAAGACGCTGAAGACGGGGCTGGTTGCACACAGAGGCTCTCCTCGGGTAAATTCAGGATGGATGAAAACTCCTCCACTTACATGATTCTTTCAAGCCCTGCCCTCGGCGACCTACACAGCCCCACTCAGACCTCTGATGTGGTGAAAAGAACACAGAACACACCCATGGACTTGAGCCCGTTTTTGTGACCCTAAATGTGCTTCATTAAACCTGGTCAATTTTCCATCCACTGTCGCCCCTTCCCCTCATTTTTCTTATTTATAAAATGAGGACGTTGGCCATCTCACTGCTAAAGACTTCATTACCTTTTAATTCGAAGTACTTTCCCGTTATCATCCTTCGTTTTCCAGACTTTTGCTCCATTAACCACCCACGCCAGGAGACCAGCATTGGGGAAGCCGAGCCAGGAAGAAAACATCTGAGCCCTCAAGAAGTTTATCATGGCGTTCTCCCCCTTTTGAAAGCCACCGTGCTCAAATGTATCGTTTTATTTCTATCAAAGGCATTTTTTTTTAAGATTTATTTATTTGTGCATACAGAACTGGGGTACAGGCCAGAGGCGCAGGGGCGGTGAGAGGCTTCACCAGAGACAGAGTGGGGAGCAGAACAGGCAGATGGACGAAGTACACTGCTGAGGGGAGCAGTGGGCGGGTCAGGAGAGGTCTGCCGCGCCATGTGGTCCCTCCGGGGCAGGCGGGAATCGAACTCATGCGGAAGCAGCTTTAGCTTCTCAGTGCTGTGCTTTAACCCGCTGCGCCACCAGGGAGGACCTCAAAGGCATTTTTTTAAACGAAAGATAAGCGCAAGTTTACTGGAATCTAGAAGGTTTAACCAAGCCCCCTTCTCCCAACTGTTAACGCAGGGAAGGATGACGCAGAAGTGGCAGTTTCCCCGAGGCCCACTAGAGGGCGCGCGCACATCGTGCGATTCCCCCCTAAAACCGCGTGCTTGAGGTTCCTGCCCCACAGGCTTGGAATCTGTGGTTCCTCTCCCTGGCTTTGTACTTTACCCCAGGGCAAATGTGACTTGCCCTCAGGTTCTCTCACTCCAGGCAGTGGCTCCTTATCTGTCATTATGAAGAATTTTTTTTTGCTCCTCAATCCACAACCGTTGTTTTGTTTCTGTTTTCAGCATTTACCCTTTTGACATGTTAGAAGGCATCAGACCCAATTTTGATGTTGAAAAGAAGCAGGATGTCTTTAGCGAGAGGCCTGCTTTTCCCTGAGAATGTCTTCCCCAGCTGTAGGGGAAACAGTTCCTTTTTAAGGACTTAGAGCAGGTTCTTTGAGCTAAAGATCTTTCTGAGGGATAGTGGTGCTCCTTCTCACAGCAGATTTCAGAACTAAATCTGTTCAACAGCAGGCTGTCTTTTGTTTTTCTGCTGAAATAACATTGATTTACAGTGCTGTATAGAATTCAGAGGTCTAGGATCACACCTCTCAGCAGTGTGTCACACCACACCCACCACCAGACCCCCACAGGCTGGGGGGGGGGCGCCTCTGGCAGCTGTAGTTTCAGTTAGATTTCTAAGGTTTATTATTGCTTTGGTTTTGAAGGATATTCTATTTTTGAGGTCTGGCCTTTTCCTCTGAGTTTTACATTCTGAATCGACAAGGTGTTGATCTGAGTAGTAGGAATTCACTCCCAGACCACCCTTCCCCACTAACAGCATCTGTGAGACACCCCAGTACTGCCCAACTTCTCCCCTTGTTGGTTGTCCAGACCTTTAGAACTCGCCCTTTGACCACCCACTCTGAGCTTTTCTTAGGTAACTGCTAAGGAGATAAGTTAGTAGGGCCCAGGCATGCGGACAGGAAGGCGCCTTTTGAGTGGCCTCTCTGTAGTGGCCACAGAAAGATGAGGAACATGATTTGAGCAAAACATCCCTTTTTGTCAGTCTCAATCTACCGGCCCTTTAAGGAGATGAACACCTTTTCTTTTCCTTTTATTTTTTTAAAGAAAGGTGTCAGAAGTCTTCAGAGGCTGGAACTTTATGTAAATGTGCTACTCAAGAAAAGGGCTTTAGGGGAGAGTTATTTATATCCCTGTAGTCATTACACATGCAAAAGGTGAAACTGTGAATCTCTGAGTTTCCAGGAGTGGATGTTCTCATGATGAGCACATCCTTGCTGATAGCTATTTTGGTGCCACACAATTCCCATATCTAACTGTCAGATTGTTCCAGCGGGAGACAACCTAATCATTCAGAAACTTCAGAACCACCAGGTCTTTCTCCCCAGTCTTTCAGGACCCGGGGGTCAGGCTTCCTACCTTTACCAGCACTCAGGTAACAGCAGCTACACCTGTAGCACCCAGGTATAGCTCCCAGTCACTCCCAGGTCACCATATCATATATTCGCTGCCCTTCTTCCCATGGACTCCGGGAACGAGCCAGGAAAATGCCTGTTTCTCCAGGAATGCTCTCCCTGTTCCATTGCTGGCTCGCCCTCTCCTAGGGTAACAGACCCTTCTGCACATTGAAATATACAATAACCACTTCAGCAACTTGCTTTTCCTATTGGAAACTGAGAGTTCACAGTGGAATGTTTCCACAGCACAGCTGATGATAATTACGACTCACTGAAATTTCAGTTTTCCTTGATTGGGACATAAAAACTGGGACATAAATTAAAACCCAATTATCCTTTAAGGGTAATTGGGGTTATAAAACCAAGAGACTGTGAGTTGGTGTGTGGCTATCACAGCAGCACATGTCTGATGGCGCAGTGTGAGTTCTGTCTCCAGCGGCCCTCGCCCGCAGGGGCTGGGTGGGGTGTTCTGTGCCCAGTGTGAGCCCGAAGAGAACATTAGATGCTGGCACAGGCTCACGGACCTTGGAAGGATATCTTGGAAGGATTTCTGGTAAATCAAGTCATAGGTTAAGTGCAAGGGAGGACGCTGGTTAAAGAAAGCCTTGGATAATCCCTGAAATACAGGGGTTACCCACACACACCTGCAGATGCTTACCTGGCCTTAATGACCTGTATCTGTTTATTTTTCTGGGCAAATTGTCTCTACCGAAACTTCCCAAACTTGTACCCCTAAAGCCCCTCCTGCCAAAGCCCTCCTCCCCCTTTCTGGAATGTCAAAGGGATTTCACTGCCTTGTCTTTCCAGTGACTTTGTTCCTCCCTCCCAACAATGCACTGTGGGTATTTTTAAAAGAACACATACCCACCACGTGACCGCGAGGAGTGTCCCCTCTGTCTCTGCCAGGCTTCTGCGCGCCTGCGCGCGCGCACACACACATACATCCCACCCTCC